ATATATATCAGTATTTATTTGGTAGATATGAAAACTAAGCATTGTAAATAAACTATAACGAATGAATAATCGCCTGCACTTGAAAATACATCAGCCAGAATTCTGATAACCTTCTTCTGAATAACATAGAAGACCATAGAAAATTACTGACTGAATTGAACTGTGGTATAAAATCTTGAGAACATCAAGAGAGACTGTTTGTTTTAACCGAAGAAGTAAATAATATATATGTTTACTGAGCTTCAGTTTGACACTATCAACATGGAACTTCCAGGGAAGTTTGATATCAATATCAACACAGCAGACCATTTATAGAACACCACTCAGAAATTTGATCAGGTACTTCATTAGCTTTGACAATTACTTCGGACATAGTTCTCGCAGATACCAAGATGTTAGTATCGTCCGCAAAAATAACAGTAATCGAAGCTTTTGAACAACATTTCCAAAATAGAAGGGGTTCTAAAACAGAGCCTTGAGGTACCCTTCTTGATATACATTGATATACAATTCAATGCAGAGCCACGTATACCACAAAACTGCACTTTGTGTAAATAATCCTAAAGTCTACTGTTTGTTTTCCAAAATTTCCAGGGAATGTTCAATGAGTTGATCAATTGCATCAACTGTAGATTTATTTCTTCTATAAGCATTCCGACTAGAAGAAAATAATCTGAATGATTCAAAGTAATTATATGATCTTTGATAGAAACACTATTCAATAACCTTAGAAAACTGACTAAGTAGCGATATAGGCCTGTAAGATGCACAGTCAGATCGAGAGCCCTTATTTTTGTATATTGGCAAAACTTTTAACATTTTCAGTATATCAGGAAACCTCCCCTCAATGAAAGTGGAGTTAACTATATGTGTCAAAGGTTCAGAAATCACATTGGCAACCTTTTTAATAACATGACCAGGAATTTCATCAATACCGGATGATTTTTTCTTACAAACTTTTTTGATAACTTGTTCAATTTCCATTTTAGTTGCTGGTTATAAATGAATACTTTGATGAGCAGATGACATATAATTGATATTTGGTTCGTTTTCGAAATACAGATTGTTGAAATTTTTCAAAACATGGTGGGTTTTTGTCATAAATTTTTTACAATTTTAGTTATTTTCATCAAACTTTATACGCAGTTTTACCCGTACAGACTTCTTCTAAACTGAGCATTATCGAACTGCTTATTCAATCCAAATTAAAAAAAATTGTCAGGTTCAATTATTCAATTAGAAAGTGCTACATTTCGGAGTTTGTTAAAAAAACAATTCGGAGAAGTACTATGTCATTAGGAAAATAAACATATGAAAATTGAACAAAACAACTATTACAACAACTGTTCAAAGTGACGACCCCCAACAGTAATACAAGCTTCTGCTCTCCTCATCAGAGAATTTCGCACCCGTTGGAAAATGCCCGGAGTGTTTCTTATCGTTTCGCAGCAAGCTATGATGCGATCCCTCAACATTTCCTCATTTTCAATGGGGATAGCATAAACTAGTGATTTCAGGTGTCCATCGTTGGGGGTATGCTACGTCTAAAAAATGTCTTGTTATTAAACTAAAATGAGGAGGAGCTCCATCGTGCATAAACCAAGAGTGATTTCGGAGACCAATGGGAACACCTTTCATAAGTTGGGGAAGCTCATGTTCCAAAAAATGTAGGTAAGCATCTCCATTCAACCTAAGGGGAGAAAATATTCCCAATAATATAATCTCAATTATGCCTACCCATACATCAAAAGAGAATCTGTCGTGGAAATGGGATTTCAAATCATTTTATATAATATCAGACGATGGAAGTCCCAACTAGTGGTTGACACTGTTTCATGATGAATTTCATTAGTTCGGACTTCCATTGTCTGAAATGATATAAAATGATTTGAAATCTGTGAAAGATTCAATAAATGATTGAAAATTAACCAAGTAACAAGAAATTGGAATTGAAAGATATCAAGCTTGAAGTGACTTGACTTCCAATTTTAATTTTCATTTCTTGTTTATTTTCGAGATTTCAATTATTGCTTGTATTTTATTTCATTGTTTTAGCTTTTTTGCTTTCTATACTTGTTATATTTTTGATGATTCTTTCAGGGATTTCAAATCATTTTATATCATATCAAATAATGGAAGTCACAACTAATGAAATGCAAGAAAGAGTATTCTTTCAGGACTGCTGGTTTTAATATTTGTCCCAGTCTTTTGTTACTTCGGCTTTATGTGAATATTTCATCATCACCAAAAACTCTAAAACAGCCCCACTTCTGAATAATTTCAACACAAAGAGCACTAATGAGGTCAATTTGAAGAAGGTCTTGCTTTCGCCTTGGTTTTTTCGGTTACGAGTAATTCATGTTTTCGTTTCGTTATGATGAGGTTGTACGATGGTTGCGAAGCGTTTGAAGTTTTCTGGTGCTACTCTTTTTAATGAGCCAGTTGGAGAATTTCATTGATAATTTATATCCTTTGTTGTTTCATAGAATTAAAGTAGATTGAAGATTGAATAATATAGTAACTGTTCCATATATCCCCGAAGTAATATATGAGAAAATGTATGCATATAATATTTCGTGATAATATTCGAATTTAATATTGTTCATCAATACTTCTGTTATAATAAATAAATAAAAACGAAAAAGACTGGATAGTTCTTAGCTGATGGGTGGTTGATTTGTTTTTCCAATTAATATCGAGTAGTTAATTTGTATTTTGAAGCCAATATATTATTTTCTGGTTTTGCAATATTTACCAGCATCGGTATAGTCGAAGTAACTGGTATTGTGCATACTTAAAGTGTCGGCGCTCTCAAAGGCCACATGAAACAATATAGAGAAATAAAGCCGCTGTTAACTACTCCACGTGAACTGAAGAATTGGCTGTTAATATTCGATAATTTTTACTAACCGATAATTTCACTAGTGGTGCAGTGACAAAGGAAACTACTGGTCTAATTGTATAACTCTGTGCAGTTTTATGAATGAATATAATTTGAGCACTTGGGGGTTCATCAACGTTAATTCCACTTGTCTTTGGAAATAATTAGTTGGATCACGTTTCAGCATTTCAAAATTTTGTAAATGCAAGAAATCAGGGGTTTTGTTGACATAGTCGATTCGGTCAGTTCATTATCATCATCATGGCCACCTCGCTCGCCCGAGATGAATCCCTTAGATTATTTTCTCTGGGGACACCTTGAAGCGTTGGTATACAAAACTGCTATTCAAAGTGAAGAGGATTTACGGAATAAAATCATTAATTCATGTGACATAATAAAAAATTCAATGGCTGGACGGTTGTTTTGAAGCCGAAGGAGGCCATTTCCAACACTTAATTTAGTGCAATTTGTCAATCTAGGTGTTGATGTTATTCAATATTTGTTGTAATTGTTACATGATTAGTAATGAAAAATTGTAAAAATTATAATTTCCAAAAGAAACATTTGATTCCTCATATTATTCATTGTGAGGTCCAGGGATGTAATTAGGTCGACTTTATTTTCTTAAAAACTAAGCAACATACGAAAAAAATTCAGGGGACCAAAAAGTTGTATTTTTAATTGCTTAATCCAAAGAAATGATAAAAATTGCACAACAGTCAGTGGCGTTCATTTTTAAGTCAAAAATATTCGTTCAAATCCCGCTCAAGACGCCACTGGACTGAATAAATTGAATGACGTTCGGGTCAAATTAGCTCCTTAATGTTATAACTACCATTGCCAAATTACAACAAAATTAGGTGAAGGATTTTTAAGATATTTACGAATAACTTTTTTTTAAATTTTATTTCAACACCGTGTATCTTGAGAACGAAGGATTTGCGGACCCATGTTTATATGAACATTTCGTCTTATAATTACCTGAAGAATCGTTTGTTGAATTTATGGTACATACTTAATTAACACCCTGTATACAGGGTGTTCCTTAAACACATGCTAATATTTAAGGAGGTAATTCTTAGACCCATTTTGAGGAAAAAACGTCCTATGGGCGTATGTCCTAAACGCCTTAACTTTTGAGATACAGGGTGGCAAAGTTTTCAAAAATAATCAGTTTTTTAATAATAACTGAGATAATTTTGTAGACATCTTTGGCATATTTGGTACATATGTTCCATGCCTCAAGGCGCATTTTCTGATGTACA